GGTCTTTTTTTCCATTCTCTCTCTCTTTTTTTTTTTTTTTGTCATAATTAATGATTAGTTTTAATTGGTTTGCTTAGGCAGCCTGACAGCAAATTAGCGGGAGCCAGCCCAAGGCTGCGTGTGCCAGTTTGAGGATGGCTGGCGGATGCCGGGCAGGAGGTGAGGTGGGCTCCTCAGGACATCCATGGGCCATTGATGTGACCCTCAGGGCTGCCATCTCCTGTCCTGTTGTCCCATGTCTGGCTCCAACAGCAGTAAAGTTGCCTCCAGATGGGGTTGGTTGCCAGCAGGATGGCCGCCATGCCATTCTACCACCTCACATCCATTCTCCTTCGTTTTGCATTGTCTTCCTTGAGCTGAGCTGGGCTCTGTTCTCCAGATGTGGGCATAGGGTCCCCCAGTGCCCAGGGAGCCTCAGCAGCCATGGAACAGGTGGCCCTACCTGGTGCCAAAGCCAGGTAATGGGCTGGAGTGGAGAGGAAAGGGAGGGCTTTGCTCTTTTCTTCCTTGGCCGTGATTTCCCTTTGCTTTGCTTTTCTTTTCTTCGCCTTTTTTATAGCTCCCATTTTTCTTTTTTATGAGAGAGAAACGGCAGGGTTCTCCCAGAGCTGGGAAGAGCACTCGGTCCCAGGCTGCTCCCAGACAGATGGAGGGGAAGAGGAGGGGGGCAGCGGGCCCGTAATCCTGGGGGAAGAGTTGTGGTTAAAGAGGATTGGGTTGGAGTCTAGGGCAGTTCAGCATCTTGCTGAAGGAGGAAGGGACAAACACTTGCTATTCTCATTTTCAGCACAAAACTTTCCTGACACCGTTGGTTACTGCGTAGCCCTCACAGCCAGTGGATGGAGTTGGTCTGAATCACACTGCTGGTGCTGCCTTGTCATAATGGCAGCCAAGACGGGAAGGCAAGGAAAACACGAGTTTCTCTCTCTGTCAGTCCGTGCATTTTCCCCCAAGCAGCCAAGGTGTTAATGGGTGTGTTTGCCCTTTCTGGACGCTGCTCTGAACCTCCAGCGTAGTGTTAATATCTACATATGCCTTTTAATGGTATCCAGAGCACGTGTAGGATTGAAATCAGAGAGATCTGATGTCTTCCTGGGAATTGTGTCATGCAGGAACAGCCTTTTTGTCAGCCACAGAGGTCCCTGCTGCATTCCAGATTCATGAGAGATGGAAGGCAGTGCAAACACGTCTGCTTGCACAGCTCCGTGTGTTGCTCAGCTGTGGACGTGCTGGCAAATGCCATGCTGTGATAGCCTGCTGCAGGCTGGCTCCTTCCCCAAGCACCTGTATGTGTACGGCTCACCCAGGTGGGTGTGCTGATGCTGCCTGTAGGTACACTGATGTCCCTGAGGCTCAGGGAGCTAGTCTTAGCTCTCGTGCTGCTCAGACGTGGTTCTGCTCACCACACTTGTGTCACTCCCCAGCCGCAGTGTGACCCTCAGGTCCCACACGTGGCTTTGCCAAAGGTTTGCACTCAGCAGAGCTTTGAGTCCATCCAAAGCAAGACTGGGGACAAGTCTGCTGCTGCAGGAAGAGAGACGAGGGAGAAGGGTGGAGAAACACCTGCTAGGAGAGGCACTGGGACCTCCCATCTCATGTCACTTTCGTGTGATCTCAGCTTATTCCCACTGCTGCTGTCCCTGAAGGAGCAGAGGATGCATTTTGAACTGCTACAAAGCCTCCATGTCCCGAGTGCTTGAGATGTTTTCTTTTCCTGCTCACTTTGCCTCATGTGGTGCAGTGTTAAGGTCTTTTTCACTTCCCCCTTAGGCTGCACTCAAGGAGGCGTGAGCACGTGCAGGTTGTGTGCCAGCAGGACTGAGGCCGGTCCAGCTGAGCCTGATGATGACCCAGACCCCGTGACATCCGTATGTCACCCACATGTTAGCCAGCATTCAGCCTCTCCCTACTCATTGCAGCCGTGTAGTTTGTGAACAGTGGCTGGGGGTCAGCCAGGGAGGGAAACTGAGGCAAGGAGCCGTAGCTCCAAGAGGCACAGGTGTGGGATCGTAGCCCTCCGTGGTGCAGCCATTGTGACAAGCCCAGCTGGGGGAAGCAGAATGCAGAGCTGCCTCCTGCCTCTGAGCACTCGCCTTGGCTGCTGCCTTCCCCTCCTCTTCCTCACCGGCGTGCCTGCAGCCCTGCGTCGGGCGGCTCCTTTAAGGCAGGCGCGGGGGAATCGCTCAGTGCCAGCCTTCGCTGCGAGTGCCGCTCCCGCTTCCCCCTCGGAAAGTTTCCTGCCCAATTGTTATGTGCGATCCGATCTGAAAGTTGCTCTCTAAGCTTCTTGTCACATTTTGACTTAATGAAGTGCAACTGGAGTGGGAATTGGGGTTCATCACGCCAGTCTCACTGCGCTCCCTTGTTGTCAGAAAACAGGGGCGGTTGGGGACCGTAATGCAACGCTGCAAGTCGTTATCATTCCGGTCAGTCTGTTTAACACAAAATTAAACAAAGAACTAATTAGTGCCTCATGAATTAATAAATGCGCAGTTGCTGGGTAGGAAGGGGAGGAAGGAAAAAAGGTTGTTGAAGGAAAGATACTGAAAAAGTCGAATTAGGATGTTGTGTCAAGGGGAAAAAAAAATCTGAGTCCACTTTGGCGAAGTTTGGCTCGGTTGGCTTCCCTGGGAGAAACTCCCTCCTCCTCCTGCATCCTGCTCACCGGGCCAGAGCAGCCCTGCATTGGTCGGTGTGAGGCACCTGGGTTTCTGCTCGGTGCTTTGGAGGAGTTGGAGCTGGGATCCACATAGAAATATTTACCTGCAGGGTTTGGCACGGGAGCTGGGAGGTATGGGCAGTTTTCCTTGGCAGGGGGAAGGCTGTCTTGGTCTGAAATCTCTGGGGTCTGGGCCATTGTGGAGGGGCTGTGGTGATGGCTGCGGGTGTCCTAGGAAGGTTTGCACCTCCCCAGCCCGGGACGGATCCAGCCCTCGGCTCAGGGCAGGGGAGGAAGCGGGAGCACAGCTGCAGCACATGGAGGCCGGGGCAGGGCGAGGTGGCACCTGCGGCTTCAGAGATGGCAGCACGCTGCTGGTTTTTCTGGAGAATTTAAGATCGTCCCAGGAGCAGTGTGTAATCTCAGATTAGCCGTGTCCTACAGTGCTCCCCCCTCCCCTGCTCCTCGCCATGGCTGCGTGGTGGTGAGGAAAGCTCCTGGGGGGGCAGGTGCTTTGCGCCCAAACTGGTGCCCAGCCTGCCAGCCCAGTGGGTGCCATGCTGTGCCGTGCCTTGCTGTGAGCAAGAGGGCTCTGCTCTGGCGCATTGTCAGGCTGGGAAGCAGGCAGAGCTGGGGGAGGGAAGAGTCCATCCTTAAGAGGACATGTCAAGTACAATTAGCGTTATCTGTCTAAATATGTACTGGGAACACAGAATACAAGAGGAGGCCTGGCTGGCTTTAATGGAGACATATGCAAGGTCATATTGCCTCATACAATCCCCCAATCTGATTTGGGGATTACACATTCTAAGTAAATTGGCGTTATTCCTCTTGCATCATTGATAAGCTGCGACCGAAAGAAGGGGAGTAAAAAAAAAACAATTAAAAACTCCATCTGAAGAATTGACCGTGCACGGGGTGAGGGTGTAAAGCCGGGGAGGCAAGGAGAGTTGTACAGAGAGCTCGGAAGGAGGGGGGGAACAAAGGGAGAGAGAAAAAAGGAGCATGACAGAATGGGAAGAGCAAGCAAGAAAGAACAAAAGGAAGAAAAAGGTGGGAGAAGGGACGAGAGAGCCCAAAGGCAGAGGGACCCCAGGCTGGGGAGCTGGTACTGCTGTCTTCAGCTGGGTCAGCCCTGAGGTGTGAGTGGGGAAGGAAGGAGCTGGGCTGGTTGTGCGTCTTCCATGCCCCAAGGGATCCCCAGCTCCATGTCCATCACGCTGTCTGGGATATCTCACCAGCTCCTTCCAGCTCTGGGTCCCAGCCAGCACCCCCCCACCTGTCTTTAGCGCAGCATCCTGGCACTGGTGCAGCACGAGTGGCAGCAGTAGCACAGAGCACCGGGGCCCCCAGGGGCAGGGGCAAGCAGCAGTCACAGCATGCTCTTCCTAGAGCTACATCCTTATCACTGTGCCCTCCGTGGGGCAAAGGGGGGATGCACCAGGGCTGAGCGGGTCGCACGGCACTGCATCCTGGGGAGGGACGTGCTGCCAGCTGGTGCTCCCAGTGCAGCCGCAGGCTCCCCGTGCCTGACCTCAGGCCGGTTTTAATTTCGCTACCACATCACAGGCAGTTGTGACAGCAGCTTTGGCAACCCTGCACTACAGAGACTGCAGGGTGGGCCGGACGCCGCTGCTGAGCTGGAGCCACTCTCTGCTCTGTGCCACCTCACAGCCTTGGGAGAGGGAAGTCCCCAGCTGCTGCTGTGCCACCATCCTTCCCCAGGCGAGCTCTCCTCCCACCCTGCTGTGCAGGATAACCCCCTCCGGAAGTCTCACGGCACGGCTTTTATGCTCTGTCACATTTTTGGAACATATGGTTTTAAATAATTCAATTTACTTTTCATGTGTTTTGCTGTGACTTTTTTTCCCCTGTCCCTTTTCTCTTTCTTCCTTGGCTCTCTGCTTTATCCAGGAAGGAAGAAGCACAGATGAGGGCTGGGGGCTCACTGCTGCAGGACCCCACCCCACACTCCTTCACCCTGTGCCCCGTAGGGGATCTCTGGGGGTCAGCAGGGGAAGTGAGAGGACTGCAAAGGGAATATTTGTCACGGAGCGGAGAGTGTGTGGGTATGCAGGCAGTCTGTGAGCACAAGGTCTGCCCTGGTGCCTGGGTGCAGGAGCCACACCAGCAGGAGCTGCTCTGTGTGCTGAATGCAGCACACCAGATATCTGATGTCATGCACAGCACTGTATGGTGCAGCCAGGAGCAGGAGAGCACTTTGTGAAGCCTCAGTGCCCCATGCTGGTCCTGCTCATAGCTGGGTGCTGTGAGGTTTCGTCGGCGTGCCGTGCAAGGCGCGCTTCATGTATTAACTGCATCCTTTTTGTTCCCTCTCCAGGATGAAGTGAATTTAGAGCTAAAAACCAGGCAAGAAACCAGACCTTGAAATCTCCGAAAGGTAGGAGAGACTTCAGACTGCAATGGGTATGTCACTTCGCCCTCCTGGGTTCTCTTTTCCTCTGCTTGTCTCTCCGTCATGGCCTGCTCTTTGTGGCTGTGTCTGCACTAGAACTTCTGGGACTGGACCATCATTAATTGTAAAGACAGATGCGAAGAGAAGAAGGTCTAATGCAGACATGGCCCATGTGTCTCCTAATCCCGTCTTTGTCTTTGTGTAGCAGTTGTTCTGAGCACCTGATTTTGTCACTTTGGGTTTTCCTCAATATCTTCTCTGCTGCCTCAGTCTTTACAGATAAAAGTGTGTAAGGGCTTTGGTGAGGAGCGCGCCGCTTTATGTTCAGCCACGTGGGCTGGTGGGAGATGGATAAGGGCCGTTCAGTGCATCGGACGCAATCTGTCCACCGCGAGGTTTTGCTGAGCTCAGTTCACATAGTTTCAGATGGCCCTGTGCGCCCTCCCCTCTTGTATCCGCTCAGACTGCAGCACCGTGCTGGTAGGATGGAAGCACTCTGTGTCTTCAGCCGAAAGCTGACTTCTCTGTGTTTTCTCTTACACACACCCTCGCTGTACAGAAAGCAATGCAGTTACCAGGGCTGGGTAGTCGCTCAGTGTATGCTTGTTAAAGTCAGGGGATGTGAAAGGAGATCACGTCTCTGAAGCACTGAGCAAAGAGGTGCCACTCCAGGCCGCTGTCCCTCTGTGCTGGCGCTGCAGAGCATTGCCAGGCACCGACGCAGCCTGGGATGGTGCTGGGGCAGACGTGGCCGTGCTCCCCATGCTGTCTGCTCCCAGCGCAGCCCTGCGGCACGGGGACCCCAGGCAGGGAGCTGGCGTCTGAACGGGACCAGAGGGGTGCCTGGGGGGGCGGGGGGGGCCCGAACCAGGCTGGGCAGTGTCAGAGGTGACCGGTGGAAGGCTAATGTTATGTAAATACCGCCGCCGTAAGACAGCGGGCCTGAATGGCCCTGTGCGTCCATCCATCATTGCTGAGGAACAGAAGCCTCCCTGGGAGCCGGGGGGGCCGGCAGCGCGGGGCACGCAGACATAGGCAGCATGTGCCCTACTCATAAACTGTTTGTTTTCTTTTTGTCTCTCTCGTTTTGGGACACCCCACTGAGAGCAACTCTCGGTTTTGTCCTCACAACCTCTCCCCCAGCCTTCCCCCGCCCTGCCAGCCTTTCCTTTTCCTCCCTCCTTACTCCTGCCCTTAAAAAAAAAAAAAAAAAAAAAAGGAAAAAAAAAAAAAAGCCCCCTGTTCACATTGCGGCTTCTTTCTCTGACTTCAAAGGCTCCCCATCATTGTTTGGGATCGGCAGGCAGTGGCCCTGAAAACGTGATCACAGCCGGGCACAGTGTAGGTCAGCAGCGAGCGCCATGCTCCGAGCGCTGAAAGGAGCGGGCGGATTCTTCCCTTTTCATGCTTCACAACCCTGGTGACAGCGCCCGGCCTCGCCCGCGCGCTCCTCGCCGCATGGCTCTTCTTGCTCTTTTCTCTTCCAGCCTCCTCCTTTCTGCCCCAGGTCCCTTGTCTCTCCATTCGCACTCATTCTGCCCTCCTCTGCGCTCAGCATCGCACACTTACTGCACTCTTTCTTTTTTCCTTCCATTACATTTCTTCCTCCCTCCCTCTTTCCAGCAGTGGCACTGGTTGTTTCCTTCCCCCTTCTCCCTCTCTCTTCTTGCTCTTTTCTCGTAGTTCACTGTTTTCTTTCCACCTTTTTCTTCTCCTGCAGACCAGCCCAGCTGCCTCACGCCCCCATCCCTGCTCAGCAGCTGCCTTCCCTCAACGTCTGCCTGTGTTTCTGTCTTCCCTGTGACATCTCACTCGCTGTGTCCTCTATTACAGAGGTTCTGCAGTCTCTGGATCAGCCCCCAGTCCTGCACGAGGTGCAAGTGGCACTGCACCCCCGTCTATGCAGGCAGCCACTGATTCAGGGGGATTACAGGGAACCGCAGGAGATGTTTGGCTTCTGCAGGTCCCCAGATGGAGCATCACACTGGCACCGGTGCTGGGGGCAGAGGGAGGCAGGGGTTCAGCGAAGTGAAGCAGCTCCAGCGCCTTCTGTGGCCATCCCAGAGCACTTTCCCAGCGGATTACTCACCTGGTTGCGCTGACACTGAGTTGTACAGGGACTCCCTACCCCCAGAGCAGCCCAATGGCTTCCTTTAGCCCTCTGAGAAAGGTTGTGCCCCTCCAGCCCCCCTGGGGTACAGCTGCCCCAGCAGCACCGATCGCAGTGCTTGCGCCTCTGGTGATTTGTGAGGTTGTTTTAGTGGCGAGGAGCCCACCAGGACTTGTCTCTTGCTAAATAGGCATATTAAGGGACATTGCGGCAGGGGTTATAGAGTAATAATTTGTCCTAATGAGCTGGTGTCACGTTCTCCCTGGCCGGGCTGCAACGCGAGCGGAGCAGCGGTGGGAGGGGGCCATGCTGGCTGCCCTGGCCGCCCGGGTTAATGAAGTTGGGCGCAGTTTGGGGTCAGAGAGCGGGAGCTGAGGCAGCCCAGGGCAGCGGGGAGGGATGGGGCTGCCGTGGGCTGCGTGCCCTGGGCCGGGCTGGTGGCAGTCAGATCAGGGCTGAGGCAGAGGGCAGGAGGAACCGGGATGCGGGGCTCTGGTTCCTGGGGACCGCAGCACCCCGACCTTGTCGCCATCTGCAGCACCCTGCCATCTGCAGCACGAGCCCTGCATGCCCCCTTCCTCCTCCTCCCACCCATCTTCCTCTGCTCCTTTCACCCCCCGCTTCTCTTTGCTTTTCTCTGTCTCCATCTCTCTCCCTTTCATCTACTCGGAAGGCTTTACTCTACTTCCTTGTCACCCTAATTGATTGCATTAACCTTTCAGCGTATTGGATTTCCCCAGCACCGTGCAGAGAGCACTGTGCAATATGCTTATAATCTGGGCTGTAATGGACAGGGAGCAGTCAACGAGCCCTTGCTCCAGCAGCTTCTGCTGACAACTTCGTCTCGGGGAGGGGAGAGGGAGCGTGCCCGTGGTCCCACATGATCTCTATGGGGCAGGCACAGAGGGGTCGGGCCCGGCCCCACAGCCACAAGTCCCAGCTGGCTGCTCCTCTGCCTGCACTGTGCTGAATTACCACGGGCACTTGTTGCTGACTGCAGGGTGAGATGGCGGCGTGGTGGAATCCACGTATTTTCACATCACGTTTGCCTTTGCTTTTTTCCTTCAATTTTATCAGGAGTTGGGGGGGAGGGAGGAGAGACGCTTTTCCTGGGGATTTAAAGACAAAAAGGTACGTGGTTACAGCTCACAGGCGGGATGGTTTGGGATAACTTCAGAGGAGCTGCAGCATCCTGGGAGGGCTGCGGGGAGCCCAAATGCTCAGAGCTGGCAGTGACGGAGCCTGCGGGCCCTCGGCACACCGGGCACGGGGACACATCCCCACTGCGTGATGTTCTGGGGGGAGAGGAGGAAGGACAAGAGTCAGAGAGAGGAAAAAACTTTATTCCAGGTGATGACCGCGGAAAGTGGGTGGCTCTGTACAAGCTAGGAGGTGGCTGAGGGGAGGGGCTTTGTTTTAGGTTAAATAGAGAAAGAATAGGAGCAGGAAGAAAAGAATGAGAAATCTAGAACGAGCGAGAGAGAAAGCGAGCGAGAGCAGCACCTCCTAAATGGAAGAGTAAACAGGCACTCCGAGGCATTAACTTAATTGATTGTTCTGCAACAGGCTGAACGCTGTGTTATTCTGTCGCCGTGGCAACAACCCAAAAAAATTGTCAGCCTGTTTGGATGAAGTGAAGCGAAACATTCTCTAATTTGCGGTGATCCGGGTGTTTGTTTTCCTTCCAGAGAGGCGGGGGCTCTATTGATCTATTGTTCGCAGGGAGCTCTCCTTGGCAGGGCCGGGCAGGGCAGGTAGCGCGGGGAGCGCCCAGCGCCTCCCGGCTGCGTCCCGCACCGCCCTCCGCAACCCCCCCCGTCGGGCACAGCGAGGAGCGGAGCGAGATGCGCTGCTGGGCCCCGCACCCACGTGCCGCCGTGGAACGTTTCCCACCGTCCCCAGCCCGCCTCGCGGCATCGCAGCCCGGCTTTTGCGGCCGCACGGGGATCCCGGCTGAGTTCAGGGGAGCGCGCCGGTGCCGGCTGCTGCTCGCTGGGCTGAGCGGGGCCGAACCACGCGCCTTCCTCTGCTGGCCGGGGGGGTTTTCCTCCCCTCCATCCCGGCTGTAACTCCTGCCCCGCTGCCCCGCTGCCCCGCTGCCGTTTCCCAGCGTAGCTGTGGGTCAGGGCAGGGCGTGCTGGAGGGCTGCGGTGTCCCTGGGCACGGTGCCCTGCCCGGTGCTGCCGGTGGGTGTGCGTGGGGGAGAGGAGCCCTGGCCGGCTGTGCTGCCGGCTGGCTAGCAGCGGCGGGAGCGGCTGAATAACCCTGTAACTGGTATGAAGGTGAATTCACGGTCTGGTGAGCACTGAAAATACGAGGGCTGCGAGACAGGCGGAGCGCAGAGAGGGGAAGGGAGCTCACCCTCGGCTCAGGGCAGCGCTGCGGGGCCGTGCTGGGGATGAGGCGGGTGCTCGGTACTGCAGAGATGGGCGCACACCGACACAGCCATCGCACCGCAGCACGGACAGCCGCACAGCAACCAACGGCACGGGTGCACACGGGGTGCCCCGGGCCGCGCACACTCGTGTGCACAAGCAAGCGTGCGTGGGGGTGGACCCGCAGCCACGCGCACAGCAAACGCGGTGCTGAGCCGTCCGCAGCAGGCTGGCTGTCAAGGCAGATCGCTCTCCGGTGTAAGTGCGCGCCAGTCGGGCAGCGCAGCAGATTTATCCCCACGCATCTTGAGCGTCTGTGCGGTTACCTGCTGCGTGCAGGAGAGGGCTGCGCCAAATCCATTCCCCTCCAGCTGGGAGAGGCCGACGCTCGCAGTGCCGGAGCTGTGCGCAGAGGGAAGCCCTTCAGCTCTTCACCCGGTGATCTCCCTGCGCCCAACCCTGCCACGGAGGGCACTGTGCCGGCAGCTGAGCCGGCGGTGATTTCGAGTTAGACGTTTGCAGAGGA